TCGACTCGACGCTAGCTAAGCTACTAAGATGTCTAGCAGAAGGAGACCTAAGTTGGGCGGATGAAAAAGGTGAAACACGATGCAGCACAAACAAAGTTTTTTAAGTACTGGGGTCTCAACGACACATCCACCACACTTAGAATGAGAAGGTTAACATGGTACCAGGCATGGTCTAAGTACCCAGAGCAGCACAGCGGAGTTCTTGCGGCTGTATTTGGAGACTCTCGCCTGGACCAGCTACGACAGACCCCGAGGACGACCCCGGACAAGTACGCGTGGCCCCCAGGTAGCGCAGGACAGTCTACTCCTTGGGCATCCAGTTTCGAGAGCATGTCGGCGTGGTACAATGCTCGCGCCAGCGACTTGGACATCTTCTGGCCAGGTACTGAAGCACATGATAGATGGCCACTGGTTGGCCCCCATGCCCTAGGGAACACAAAGAAAAGAAGAAAGGTGGGTCCCGAGGGCCAGGGGAAGGAGGAGGAGGATATCTTCGACGAGGAGGTTACACTGGAAGAGCTGGAAAAAAAAACCATATTGGCGTGACCATCAGGAGGGGGGAGGAGGGACATGCGGAAAAAGGTTTTCGAGCATCAGCGCCCTGAAAGGCCACGTAAGAGAAGCACGCAACATCAGGGATGCCCTCTCCAATATAGTCATCACCAACCAGTGCCCTTGGTGCCTCTCGGGGGTCTCTACGAGGTGGGTGGCCCTAGATCATTGCGTGCGCGCATGTCAAAGACACGGAGTGTGCCGCGTGGAAAAATCAAGATGGCCCCGCCCGATCCCCCCCCCAGAGTCGCTGGCCATTAACATTTGTGATCAAGAATATCCGGACATCGCGAGTTTTCACCGGCACGCCCGCTGCCACTACTTCGGCCCAGACATTGTCGCGGGCGCCCATGATGAAGGGATGGGGGATCGGCAAGAGAGGAGCAGGCGGCAGCGGGGGCGGAGACGTACCAGCGGCAAAGTTACCGAAGGGCAAGGGAGGCAATAAGGCTCGCAAGCAGGGAAATGCAGCAGACGGAGACAATGTCCAAGCGGTGATGGCGGTGCAAAAGCTCAGCCTCAGGACTGCAGCGGTCGCCGGAGATCTATCAAATATCGTCGGAGAGTTTTGGCTCGCGCCGCCAGGGCACGACATCATCAAAGTGGCAAAAGAGACGGGCTCGAGTTACAACGATCAAGTGCAGTCAATCGGAAGAGGGCACGGCCTGGGGCCGCCGTGCCTCCACGCGTCGGTGGCGACGATCGAGGCGATGGCGACGAGCCTGGACGAAAACGAGCAAGAGGAGGCGCAGGCGAAGATCAGCATCATGCAGTGGGTGGAGCAGGCGGAGTCGGAGGCGGGGCAGGCGTTCGTAGGAGAGACGAGCAGAATGTTCTAGGTGAGCGACGCGCACAGGACGGACGACGATATGGAGGATGGGCATCGCATGACGAAGGTCATGTTTGCGCTGAGCCCGTACTACGACATAGCGACGGCCATGAAACAGATGAAGTTGCAGCCAATGGGAGCAAAGCCGCCGACCGAGTTCAACGGCGTGAGGCTCCTCCAGGCTATGGGAGCGGCATTGCACAAGGCGGGGGGGCACAGGCCAGTGGGGAGCGGGCCGAAGGAGGAGCTAGACAGGGTGGTCGAGCGCCAGCTGAAGGCGCTGCAGAAGAAATGATAGTTATTATAGGCAGCAGATCTGGGCGTGAAGCAGAGTTTGTGACATCAATGCAGTCAGACCCCATTGCCAAGCTAGCCACAGACTCCGTTGCAATGACTAGACTTAGGCAAATGAAAGCAAAAGGACCACAGCATGCAAAGAGACTTTTAGAAAGAACAGAGATTGTTCGTTCTAAGTTTAGTGCGGAGCTGAGACAGCTAGATAATGAGTAGAGAGTGTGAGGCCATCAACCGCGGGCCTACTTGCAGTCCTTGGTAGGCGGGCCCTGGCCCTGGTGGCTCCGTCGACCAGGAGATGGCAGGAGGGTAGGCGGGTGAAGGCCGTAACCCGTTGCCAGGGAGCAGCAGCCGCCAAGGCCACCCCATCTCCGCCTCTCTCCCTCTTTGAGAGCGTCGTCCTCCCTCCCTCTTCTTCTCCCTTCCGTGTATGCTGAAGGCGGGTGCCTTCCCGCTCCACGGGGCACCCTCCCGCCTCCGCGAGGCAGAGGGCCGCCCTGAACATGCGCCCGTGTGATTATAGTCGATGCAGGGCGCGTGAGAGATCCACGCAGGGGAACCTGAGATGCTGTAGCAGCAGCTGGATACGCACCCCCGAGCGCAGAGCCGAGCCGAACCGAGCCTCCTCCTCCTCCTCCTCCTCCTCCTCCTCCTCTTCCTCCTCCTCCTCCTCCTCCTCCTCCCCCCCTCCCCCTCCTCGTCCCCCTCCTCCGCCTCCCCTTCCGCCTTCTCCTCCTCCTCCTCCTCCTCCTCCTCCTCCTCCTCCTCCTCCTCCTCCTCCTCCTCCTCCTCTTCAAGTCTGTTCCAGAGCGTTCTCGGACGCTTTTGGAGCGTTCCCGAGCGCTCTGAGAAGGCCGTCGTGGCGCCGGATACATCCTCCAGAGCCGCCAGATCTCAAAAATTCTCGATCTATCGTCACCCGATGTTATCCTCGTCCAAGCTTTGTCTTAGCTTGGAGAGACTCCTCGTGGTCGCGGCCCTTTCCGCCTTTCGAGAACCGGGCCAGGATGAACCCTGGGAGGGCCCTGGCGCAGCGCGATGGGGCACGCGGGAAGGGGCGCGAAGACGAGGAGGAGGAGGAGTTGGAGGCGGATGAGGAGGGGGCGAGGAGGAGGATAAGGACGAAAACAATGAGGACGAAGGGAAACGAGGAGAAAGAAGGAGGAGGAGGAGGAGGAGGAGGAGGAGGAGGGGGCGAGGAGGAGGAGGAGGACGAAGAGAATGAGGACGAAAGAAAACGAGGAGGAGGAGGAGAAGGAGGAGGAGAAGGAGGAGGAGAACGAGGAGGACTGAGCAGGACGAGAAGGAGGAGGAGGAGGAGGAGGAGGAGGAGGAGGAGGAGGAGGACGACGACGGGAAGAACGAGGAGGACGAGCAGATTGAGGAGGAGCTCGCCCCCACCCCTTCAGTTCAGTGTATTTCCGATCGCCATCTCTGAGAACCTGGGGGGATGTAGCTTATATACACACTCCCTTTTCTGATTGCAAGCTCGGAAGAGCCACACTCGTAGGCAGATGCAGCACTTCGCTGCCTGCACGGGGGCCTGGCCGTTGAACACAACGGGCGGAGCACACACAAAGACAGGGCGATTCCCGCACGTGCTAGATTATCTTGCAGTCTTACCTCGTTGCGAGGACGGGGAGGAGGGATACATAAGCGGCACAGGAGGCAGAGGAGGAAGAGAGACGAGGAGAGGTTGCGCGGCCCATCATAATCACCTCTTTGGCACGGTCGAGGACATCCAGGGACCAGTCCTCCACATTGGCGTTCGGCGTTCGGCGCGCCATGGAGACCAGCTTAGCACACAGCAAGTCAACAAGCTGACACTGCGCCAGCATGGTGGCCAGCTCCCCCGGCGTGCCCATGAACGCACCTACCTCGGACAGGAGTTTCATGTCGAGCTCGTCAACGGTCGCCAAGCCTGCCTTCTCGGTCGCCTCCTGGCCCTCGTCCGTGAACGCCTCCTCGAAGGTCTCCTCCTGCGAGGTGGTGCGGACGGTGGTCCCGTGCTCCTTGCCGATCGCGTCGGTGTCGGCGAAGCCCTCCAGTCCCTCTTGGACCCTGTGGCGCAGTAAAGAAGACTGCGCCTCAGCTTCTCGAGCTTCTCCTTGTCCCCATCCTCGAACGTCTGCTCGAAGGTTCCATCCTGCGGGATCTTACAGTGAGCGGCTTGAGTAAGGAACACTTACTTTTCAAAAGGGGCTCGGTCGTTCCTTAGGTTCGCATGCGTGATTTACAGTTCCTCATGCGTTATTTGTTATTTATCGTTCCTCATGCGTTATTCCTTGGGATAAAAAAAGGGGCTTCGTTCCTTATTTATCGTTCCTTAGGTCAGGCCGATGACTGTACGCATAGTGCAGTTGCGGCTGAACAGGTCGTGCATGCGGTCGAGCTCCTCTGGGGGGACCTCCGCCGCCCCCTCGCACGTGAAGGTGACCTGGTAGGGCTCGGCACCGTGCTTGCACTTCGCGGATGCGTTCGGGCCGCCGTCCATGTCCACGTCGATGCCGTCCAGCTCTCTCCAACTCCTCCTCCGTCCTCCTCCGCGCACGGGCCCCCCGCCCTCCTCCGCGCTCTCCCGGAGGCGGCCAATGCGGTCCGCGCGGTCCTCGCGCCACGGGACGGCCCGGAGGGGGGCGCCGCGGCCGCGGCGGGGCGGACGCACGGCACGACGCCGCACGAGGGAGCCGAGGAGGAGGAGGAGGAGGAGGAGGAGGAGGAGGAGGAGGAGGAGAAAGCAGAGCAGGAGAACGAGGAGGAGGAGGAGGAGGAGGAGGAGGAGAGCGAGGAGGACGACGAGGAGGAGGGAGCCGAAGCGCGTGCCTTGCTGTCGAGCGAGCCACCTCCACTGCCCGCCCGTCGTGCCCCTCGGGCGCAGCCGCCGCCGTGCGGCTCGTCGCTGCGGAGAGAGAGAGAGAGAGAGAGAGAGAGAGCGCAGCGGAGCGCGGCCCGCCACGCGCGTGCAGTCCGGTCGCCTCCTTCGACGGCCGGGGTGCGGTGGTGACGGCTCGGGCCGCCTGAGAGAGGAGGAGGAGAACGAGGAGGAGGACGAGGAGGAGGACGAGGGGGGGGGCGAGGAGGAGGAGGAGGAGGAGGAGGAGGAGAAAGCAGAGCAGGAGAACGAGGAAGAGGAGGAGGAGGAGGAGGAGGGTAAGGAGGAGGAGGAGGAGGAGGAGGAGGAGGAGAACGAGGAGGACGACGAGGAGGGGGGGGACGCGGCCTCCAGCGCCGCGCTTGGGGGGGAGGGCGGGGCTCCCCCTCCCCGTCCTTCCCCTCCTCTGCCCCCCGCCCCGCCGTGCGGCCCCCCGGGCGCCGCGCGGGGGAGGTACGCGCTGGCCCCAGGCGCCCCCGCCGTGCCCGCGGCGGCACCTGCGCCGCAGGTGACAGTGGTGAGGAACAA